TATATATACAGCCAGGATTCTGTACAACCTTCTAATCTGGGTTTTGGTATCAAACTAATGTTCGAAAGCGGCATATACCGTGGAGGGATGCCTCGTGACGATTTCTGATAAATCTTTTCCCCCGCGAATGCCAGGGAATTTTCAGTCCCTGCGGAGGGGACTATTCAAGTAGAATCCCCCATGAGGTCTAGGGATTTTGAAGCCACATCACAGTGCTCACATTTTGTTTGTACCTTGAGTTATACAATGTTTTGACGCTTTTTAAGCATTTTTCGATCATGGTAACGCAGTCTGTTATAAACTTTGGGTTGTTGCAATAAAGCAATCAGATTTTTGTCCGTCAGAGGATTACTATGAGAGGACAAGAAATTTGACAATTGCATCGTCACTGTGACCTACGCCTTGGAGTAGTCAGTGCTCATTGTGCGGTTTAGACAATTGGAATTAACTTTATATTGTGTTTATTGGTACAACAGTTGTTCTGCTCTTTTTTCATCATTGGTGTTATCGTTTTAATGAAGATGCTCAGTGATGAACAAATTTGAAAATTTTGGCTCTGTTCCGGCCCAGCAGTTCCGAAACTTTGGCGCCAGACCTAGCTCTGGCTCAACTTTGCTAGAAAATTTGTCTCCAGCTCAGAAGTTCTAAAATGTTGGCTCAAGCTTCAACTTTAATTCTACATCCTCCAAATTTTCGGCTGCGGCAAAGTCCTTGGCTCCGAATTTCGTTTTGCTTCGCTTTCGCCCACGGAAAAACCTTTACCGTGTGAGTCTCGATTTCGGCTACTGACCGTTGTTGTGATGGAACCAAAAAATTTTTTTGGCTCCGTAGTTTGAACATTATCGCATACTGACGTCGTTTTTTCATGATAAATAAATGGTTTATGACAATGAATTACCGTTACTTTCCTTACCTGCAACTTACGAGGAGGGCCTTTGCTGGTGCGGAAGATTTTTCGAGAGGGATGGATGGCTTCCGCGAGGGGGATGGATTCCCTTGTGACTTATCTTGATGACTCGTGCCCTCGCAGGGGATTTTGCGCAGGGATGGAAGATTGATCCAAATTCCGAAAACTATATTGAACCTCATTACTACAGATCACTTCAACCAAGAAACTTCTACTATCAGATTTCTAATAGTTTAAAAGTTGAATCATACCAAAAATACTGCCGAAAGTCATTTTTCGAAAATCCTTTCATTGGACGCCTTATAATTTTCAACAACTTCTGCTTACGCGACACGATACTTACTGCACAGCTAAAATAACTGGTTTCAATATAAGGAATAATCTGCATACGCCAAGCAAATTCATATTATACGCTCAAAATGTGCAACACCGATCGGATAGCATTACATATCACACGAAAAATCCTTGAGAATAAATTCAGCAACATGTCACTCACTGAAATTAAGACTATATTGGTATTAAAGATCACAAAAGAAAATAAGACGCACAAATTTGAAGTATAGCACGGTTTGAAAGAATGCTGGTGTCTCTACAGATAAGCAGTATTTCGTA